ATGTCTTTCGCTCCTTGGTCTGTCTTGGAAATATTCGACGACGTCGACGACAAATTACATGCATCTGATCTTCTTTTCAATGAGATTCTTGACCACCATGCTCCGATCAGATCAATTAAAGTTCGCGGAAAGCCAAATCCTTGCATAACTGAGGAAACACGCGAGCTTATGAAATCTAGGAACTATTGGCGAAAGATAGCACGCAGAACTTATAATCCCGCTGACTGGTCTACTTACAAAAACCTTAAACACCAAGTGAGAACGTTAATAAGAGCAGCGGAGAGCGAATTTGTCAAGGATCAGATTCAAAACAATCCACGAAATACAAATTGTATTTGGAAGGCAATTCGCCTTTGTCTCCCTAAAAGAACGTTTTTGCATCAGTCGGAAAATCTACGAATTCTAAAATTGAATCTTTGGCTGAAGAGCACAACTTCGTTCTTCGTGAAAACGCTTTTACTCCTAAATGTTTTCCTACTAGTGAGCAATTTACATTTAATTATATTGATTGTAAACAAGTCGCGGATGTCATAAACGCAATGCCTTCTAATAAGGCTCCTGGGATTGACAAGGTGCCAACTCGAGTCCTTAAGGACAGCCTGCTGATCACACTCCCTTTTATTACGTCAATCATCAATGCTTCTCTTTTAGCTTCAACATTCCCAGAGGTCTGGAAAACTGCCGAAATTACACCTATCCCCAAACAAGGCAACCACGAACTTCCTAACAATAACAGACCGATTTCCCTGCTACATGCATTGTCAAAGGTTTGCGAAAGAGTGGCTTATAATCAGTTTGTCACCTATTTGACAACCAAGGAAAGGCTTACCACACAACAAAGCGACAACAAAAAAATGGTTCTCTGAGACATCTTTAATTCACACAACTGATGCATTTCTCGAAGGAATTGATGATAAGAAATTGACTGCCTGCGTGCTTTTAGATATGAGTAAAGCCTTCGACAGCGTTGGCCACCAAATATTGTTACGTAAAATACAAAGCGTCGGCGCCTCAACCAGCGCGTTAAAATGGTTTAACAGCTACCTTACAAATAGATATCAAGTTGTACGAATTCATAGTTCCGTTTCTGATCATCTTCTAGTTGAATGTGGCGTTCCTCAAGGGAGTATTCAAGGCCCCCTATTATTTAGCATATACGTAATTGATCTACCAGAAGTTCCAAGGCATTGCTCTACAGAATGTTATGTAGACGATACAAAACTGTTTGTTTCTTTTAATTTTCACGACTCCCAACGGACTGTCCAAGAAATGAATGAAGAAGATCTCCTGCAGGTGCGCAACTGGTGCTTCGGAAATCGGCTACTACTGAATCCAGACAAAACAAAATTAATCGTTTTCGGGAGCCGACAGATGACCTCTAAGCTCCATGAATTTCACTTGTCTTTGTTGGGAAAGGACATTTCCTCAGCCCAATTAGTGAGAGATGATGGCGTGATTTTGGATCCGAACTGAACATTTGATAACAATATAACGACCTCAGTGTCGGAATGTATCGCACGTCTAGTGCAAATTAACCGGGTCAAACATAGAACTATTCGGCTTAGACCCTGTTTACATGGAGTGGGGGACCCCGGTCTAGTGGGGTAAGTTTCTTTTGTTTTGTGTCCCTCAGAGCGTGAAAACAAAAGAAACTTACCCCGGGGACCGGGGTCCCCCACTCCATGTTAACAGGCCCTAACTCGATGTTGTACTCAATTCAAATCTCCCCGGGTCAAGATTTTCTGTGCACTGTATTTGCATTATAATGTTGTATTCACATTTAAATGATATGGAAATTCCTGAAACAAAACGTTTTATCCCCAAAGGGTTTGAATTGGGTACAACAGTTAGTTAGCCGAATAGGTCTATTGCTTAGACAAAAAAACGTTGTTGCCCGTAATACATGCCTTAGTCTTCAGCAATATGTACTATTGTTCGAATGTTTGGGCAAATACCACAAATAAGAATGTTAGAAAATTGCAGGCCGTTCAAAACTTTGCTTGCCGAATCGTCAGTGGAGCGAAAAAATATGATCATGTAACACCCCTCTTAAAAAGCCTCTCTTGGTTACCTGTTAAGGACCAACTGTACTATCGCCAAGCTATTATGGCCTTTAAATGCATGACCGGTCAAGTCCCTGAATATCTTACATTTCAATTAATTTATTACCCGTGAGCAAGTTAGCGAACGAACAACTCGGAGTAGCCAGAAGCTAAACATCCCTCTTTTCAGAACTGCCTCCGGGCAGAGAACCTTTTACTACAGAACTGTTAAACTTTGGAACAATATGGAATTTTTTCTTAAGTTAAGTTTTCTTCGTCTGGAAATTATTATGTCCAAACTTCAAGACTGAATCTAAATCAAGATTCTTTTTCCAGGTCTGGAGCTAAACTTTGGAACGCAATTCCTAACGAATTTCGTCAACTCTCCAAAGGAGCTCTTAAAAAAATTCATGACTTTTTGTTCTCGATAATGGAAGCAGAGGACGATTATGTTGAAGTGCCCATTCTCCTAGAAAAAATGGCAAATTTTGCATCCTCAATGCACCAATAATTGATAGGTTCTGTTAGTAGTAAATTTGTCTTGTAATATCAATTTGTAAGACTATATATTTTGTGACTTTAGCTTGTTTTTCTGCAATTCTTATCTATCCATCCAAGTAGTTTATTTAGTTACTTTACCAAATCATCTGTTATGACTGCTGTAACCTTTCCTCTCCGCCCGCCTCGTCTAGCTTTTGCTATTTGCGGGCGGAGATGGCAAAATGATGTCTATGAAATAAAGTATAGTGTGTTATCTATTTATATTTTAGATCTTACTTTCTAACTGAAAGTCATGGGCATTATTTTTATGGAAAATTGCGCACTATAAATGTGTTATCGTTATTACTTTGTTTATTATATATTTCACCTGACTTCGTACAGGTAGACTTTTTGTAAATTAATACTTTGTTTTTTGTGTGTTTTAGCTCTAACCATGAAGACTGTGTTTAAAGTAATAGCGGGAGGCTTTACTATCGCTTCTAGCTTAGACCTGTTGATTCGTAACTCCACGTATGATGAGCTCATCAGAGCGGTTAACACATGTGTACTTCCTGCTGGGGCTAACCTAATTCAGATTACAGAAGGTTGTCTATGCCTCAAGGTTCAACTAATGGACCTTTCAGCTCTTGAGACTTTGTGGCGTTTATACAAGGATGGGACACTAAAAGCAAGCTTGCAAGCCTTATTTGACACAGACGAAATACGAGAATTTGCTGGGGGAGAGCACGTGGAAGTGATTGTGACTATTGACGAAAGAGAATACGATAAAACAAGGAGTGAGCTAGGTAATGAAGGACAAGGTTACCTATAAATCACTCAAATTAGTTCCTTGATTGTTTGTTTGTTACAGGAGTCCATACCCCCGAGCCAGCAACTCCTCTACATACACCTATTTCATGGTTTATTTTTATGCACATTTAAAGCACTTTTTCCCGGCTTCATCATATCGTTTTACAGTGCGACTACTCTAACCCAGGACACCTAGACGAAGTTGACCAGCCGGATTACAGACGAGATCTCTCAACAAATTTTTCCTTGTTGCCTAACCTACTTCCTAAAACCCAATTTTTTTTCGACAAGATTCGACATAATAAATGGTGATGAAATCCGATTCTGATTTCGGGCTTAAGTTCTAATTTTCGAATGAGTAGAATTAAGGTCTTATTGCATTTCTATTTTTAAGGAATTGAGATTGGTAATCAGGTATATTTACCATTGGATTTCAGAACTTCCGCAAGGAAAGGGTGAAAAACAGCAAACGCAAGGCCTGGATGAGGAGAAATTCTCGAACATTCTGAAGTATTTAGAAGAATCTGAGACAAAGAGCGCAACGACAGAAACAAGCGACAGTGGAATGCGGGAATCATGTAGTATTTCATCTGAGCTAGAAACGGACGAATCCATCGGTAAATTTAAACTAGTGCAATATTCTATATATACATCTAGTTGGGCTCTTCGAAGAGCGGCTGGGAATCGAGCCTACTCGCGGTTATGATGACAAATCTATCCGAGCACTTAACCGTCGGACGTTCAAGTGGAGGGTTGGGGGGGCTTGGGTCGCACGCGTTTTGAGACAAGTTCAGTGAAAAGTCAGACACAAAAATTAGCATTTATCTCGGTTTTCACCAAATTTCACATAAATTTATTCTTGGTAAAAACCCAACTAATGACGGCCAAGATGGCGACCATTGTTCGTGACGTCACAGGCGTCCAGCAGTGCCACCACTCAGCAAAATATACCTCATTTTCTTGCAAAGATCAAAGGCTTTCCACTGAAGGCAAAATCGTTTCGAAATACTGCAACATATCAAAAACTCTTGGGAGAGAGGGGCTCCATCAACCACAACCCCCCCCCTTCTCTTGTGCCACTGTGAGGGTATGCATTTGCGTCTACGTCCGAGGGTTAAGTATCACTGATAAAACTAAGATTGCGAACATTACTTTTTCTACTCCTCTTCTCATTCTCCCTATTATATCCTTTCTTTTTGTTTTATCATCTCTTCACTTTGTGTATATATATTTTTCTATTGTTTTAGTTTTCTTTTAAATGTTTATTATTATTTGTTTTACTGTCACTCGTAGTCAATTTACTTTCAACTGTGGTAAGACTTATATAGTCAGTCGCGTGCAATGCAAAGTAGTGACATTTGATTAAAAAAAATAGTAAATTTTAGGATTTTATTACTTTCAAGCGATACACACCGAGCCCGGAAAGTGAACTGGTCGTTTAACCCAGCTTTTATTTCGCGCTTTAATTACAGATTCTCCACCCACACTCTATTTGAAAGATCTAAGTGAAGAAGTGGTCGAAGAATTGACGTCCAGACTCCAAAGTGACCCAGTTGCTCTGAAGAGATTTTACCGCAGTCGTTCGGGCTTGATCCAGAGAAATTGTACGCCAAAGGATTTCAAACCATTGCAGAAATCTTCCCTGGTACTCCAATCAAGACTTTAAGGGACGTTTTCAAGGCGTTGAGATTGCTCGACCTCGTTGACTTGTTAGAGAATGTAACGAAGATTCGTGCACTTCGTCCTGCTCTTTGCATTAAAGAAATAGAAATGTTACCGAGTGCTAATTACCGTCCTATAAAGGATTATAGTAAAGCGGAGACCTTGATTATCGATTGCCATAACGATGCTTCTACAGAGAATGATGCTAAAAGAACGGCATCTTTTTTCCAGGCTTTTAATTCAAAGAGTCAAGTAACTACGTTGACTACAGCAAAGGCGTTAGCGGATTTGTTCGAAAATCTGGCAAAGTTGAAGGCGAAAATGACGATGAACGAGACCGATGCTTTGATGGCTGAGACGAGAGAAACAATGTTAAAAGTGTTTCTGGAGGAGAAAATACCCGATAAGTGGTCTGGAGGGCTAAACAGGAACTGGAACGAAACTATGGCCGAAAAAAATGAGCGACTGTTGAGCTTGTTCCAAGAAGAGGAGTCGGCAATGAGAACGGAGCTAAGAGAGTTGGTAGAAAAACGAGAGCAGTGGGCAAATGAAAGAATGCTGATGATCGAAGAGATAGAACGGGAGGAGGAAAGACTGAAGAGAGAGAGTAAGAAATTCGCAGCGACTGTCCTATCCTTCATTGAGAAATGGATGACCCTTCCACTTGATGAAGGTTGGTAACTTTTAGAGAAACTTAGAATTAAGTTTAAAGCAAAAAGACCGCTGGCGAATGTATCAGTTGTAACACATGAGCAAACGGCAAACGGCAAAGCCACGTTTCTTGCGTCTAATAGGCCTCTGCCTGGCCTCCAGTGTGGTGCATGATTCCTCCATGACTATCTATTTTATAAAGAAAAATAAGACTGCTCGCATTAACATTCACTCGTAGCTTAACCCTATTCAGACTGGCTTTTCTTGTGCTTCCTGCGACCGGCGGGACCTCGGAGGCTCCCTTCTATAAGGGTTGATTTCCAGTGTGGCGTAATTTTTACATGCGTATGAGCGTAAAATTTACGTTAGCAAATTAAATAGAGACAATACATGAAAGTCGCTCGTCAGCGTAAACGTTCAACCTCTTTCAGCTTCTCGTTTAAGCTCAGCACTTTTTATCTTGTTTCTACTTTATTTACGTGATTAAAATTTACGTGCGTTAACGTGTGTAGCCAAAAACGCGCGTCAGTGGAAATCAACCTTACTACCAAACCGCTCATCCTTCGGCCCCCAAAACTACATATAATAATGTACTCATCATTTCCAATTTCTGGGCGAAATTTTATTGTCATGAAGACCTCATCTTACGTGACCTTGACGTCATATTGTTGCATTAATTGGCAGAATCTAATTTTCCCTCAAAGGAAGGTATCAAACGAAAAGTCGTTATCAAAAGTCGTTATTAATAAATAAATAGTAAGGTCTCTGAACAAATCAAGACGTTGGCTAATTTAATGATCTTTACCAATAGGAGTGATGTCATGATGACTTCGTTTGTTACTAAAAAAGGGAACTGAATCCGAAAAAAAAAAGGAAAAGAAGGAGAAAAGCATGGTTTGTTTTACGCATTTGCAGAACATTATTTGCCGCCAAACATATGAGCCAAGCGCAGTTGGACGACATCCCCATGAGCGGACAATTGTTTGTAGCCAGTTATTTGCAGGTTACTTGGGGGCCTCTCGGCCGATGAAAAGGAAAAAAAGTAGCACCGAATGACAATAAATGAAATTTTCACACCAACTGTACGTGTGATCTTTATCTGAAATCTGTTTGCGAAATGATGATGGGAATGTCATTCCCATTATCTGGTTTTTAGGCTGTTGATTAGAATAAAGTGAGATTCCACGGGTTCGTTTGTTTTTTTCTTACAGGTGAGGAATCAACCCTTTTTGTTGTACTTGTCAGAGAAGGTTTCAAGCTTAATTCGTACAGCGATGACGTTGAAAACTTCATGAAAATGATAGGAGAGTGTGTAAGAAAAGCATTGTCCCTCATTCCAGGTGCAAAGCTTCTGATTGCAAATAATTCGTCATGTTTAGCGGAAAAGGCAGAAATACCTTGCGAAACTCTACAGGTGTATTCGCCAGAAAGGATTGGTCTAACAACGATGCTGGATCTTCTGAAAAAGCGCTGGCAAACTTTGGACCTCATATCAGTGATGCAGGAATTAAAAAGATCATTACGCGCAGAAGGAATATCTCGTAAACAGGAGGAAACTACGAAATTGTGGGATCGGAATACACAGCTTGTGGAAATACAAGAAAATTTGTCTTGTCTTCCGAGGCTTCAAAAGACTGAATAGATCTCGGATAAAACTGAAATGAGTTGTATTTATATGAATAAGACACTGACGGATGAGCGGCCAATGTACATGTGAAAACTCGCTATATAATAGGATAAGAGTTGAAGTTGTGGCATTTTTCTGTAGTCTGATCTCGGATAACTTGCGGATGAACTGCCCGGGTACGCACTTAGTTGGTAAGTCGTCCAAACAGGTGGTTACCTTTTTAAGCTAATTAGGTATTGTGGCCTAGTGTTTATTTTACTCAAAACCACAATGAAAACCAAAAGCACTGTGTAATATCAAGCAACTGATGAAACTGTAATATTATTTGTATCATTCATATTTATTTCAGTCCACTAGCCAGTACCTGCCAATAGTATCATGAGTATACTTTTTAATCTTCCATTGACCTATAGATAAAGTTTTACTTATAAATCTACAGATCAAATTCTGTATTGTTACGTTGTCTCATTTTATTACTTTCATTACCTTTCTTTTTCCCTGCCTAGAATGGATGTTTTTGCTTATTTTCAGGGTGATTGTAAGGTAACTTGTTACGTATACTGAGAGTAATTAACTGAAGTTTGTTTCTTTGTTTACATATTACTCTACTAGGGAACCCATAGCCATAGGATGTGAGAGTAACAGACTGTATTATATGTAATAATAAAACTATAGTAAATGTGCCGGCCAGAATCGTTAGGCTGCGCTTACACCTAAACATGAGCGTACATCACTTGTATCGGTATGAGCTGCATTGGCTTCTGATAGAAGAGCGTGTAATCTTTAAGATTCTGTGGAGCCAGCCCTCTCCCCAGGCACATGTGACCAAAAAAGTTCATAGGTTCAGTGAAGTACGCGGACCGGAGTTTCACATGTTTTGCATTTCATTGAGTCTTGTACAAATTTGCACTTATTGAGGCCGTCTAGCTTCATAAATAACTGGAGCATAAACTACATCGAATTCTCTCCTCCACAGAGGCTTGTACTGGTATCCCATCTATAACATTTTAAATAAAACTTTAGAAATAATTTGGCGTGGGGGACTATAGGAAGAGAGAAAAGCGCAGTTTCCCTCCTTTCTCCGTTTCACATTGTCCCCTACGCGCTTTCCTTTCCCGTCTTCTCGGCTTTCCAGTTAAACAAAGGGCACTTAACATTTCTACCACGAATTCCATTTGGGAGATCAAATGGTGCTCGCCATTCCGTTTGAGAAGATACAGAAAATATGAACTTTTATTTGAAACGATACATTTTTTCTGGTCTGTTCAGTCTCTTCAGCTGATTTGGCTACAGTTTGTGGCGTCGTTCTTCCACAAAGTCAAATTTGATCGTTTAATGTTTATCAAGAGAGATTCTCTCTTGATGTTTATGCACAAGATTTTCAACCGGATTTTTTGTATAAATGTTAAGCACCCAAAGGTATCTCTGTGAAGAGTGAAGGAAAACGAAATTACAAGTTGATGCCCTGAGAAAGCAAGCATTTAAGTGATTTATTCTTATATTTATTTACATGTCCTGTTATTTAAAAGCCCCTGCTAAACTAAACTCGACTTACAAATTCTTTTGTGAAATAATTATGAGTGAACAGAATCTGTAACAGTTCTTACTGAATCTTTCCGATTTATACACCGTATTCACAAATGGCGGACACGCGGGAAAAAAACTGGTGCCTAGTCATGAAAGCGAGGCGTTGGAGGATAAACAAAAATTGCAAATGAAGACTTTCAGTGAACTTGCAGAGTGTTTAGCACGGATTCCACCTAAAATAACTTTGTATGGACGTCTTTTTACATACAATGATGTGGCACGTCTTCTGCTTTTAATGTTTAGTACTGATTTGCTGTTTGCAATCAAAAGGGACGCGTACATCTTCAAGGAAACAGGATGATTTTGTAGGTTTCCGAAGCCTCAGAAGCTCGACAACTTAGTGGGCGATGGCTGGAGAAAAGCGGCAAACATGTTGGCCCAGACTTCACATTGAAACCGAATACGAAAGCCAGCTCACTACTGTTCTGTAAAACAGAAATAAAAACAGATATTGGTGGCAAGAAAAAAAGAAATAAGCGACGGATATATGGCCTACTTGTCAACGGAAGAGACCTCCGCCATTACACAAAACGGGTCAAGTCGAGAGAGGGTAAAAGATTCATTCACGAGACTCATTCATTCATGTCAGTGTCATTTTATACATATCTATGTATGTTTGTATTTACAACTTCCTTTGGATAATATTAATTCCGTCGCTTTGGAGTTTATTGTTGGAGGTACGTTGGCAGAGCTTAGCAAAAATCTTTTGATTTCTTTGTCATTGCGAAATATAACAACTTTATCAAAACTAGAAGCTGTAGTGTGTGAATCTTATGGCTTGCTATTTGCCTGGTCTCCTTTAGGGCATTATCTCGGACTGCTTTTGGTAAAAAAGTGGTTTAAAGCTCTTATTTTACTAGGTTAAACTTTTAAGGCAATGTTTGTGTCAGGACTGAACACGGCAAGCTTCTGTTTCGAATCATCAAATTCGAGTCTGGATCCGTTTAAGAAGGCCATCATTTTATTTACGTATTCTTCACTTTTAAAATATTATGGAACATGAAGTTAAAACTCTTAACAGCCAAAGATAAGAAATACGAAAACTACTCGCTGAAATGATATGTAACAAGTTGAAATTTTGAGATTACTCCACTCGATCGCTCCTGTATTTATACTAAAAAAATAGTTCTAATTGATGTCCTTCATCGATGAAGACCAGAGAATAACATACTGGCCAAAAAAAAAAACAAAACAAACATAACTTAATCGAAACCTTAGTCACCGCTTCTTTCCTGTGTTCCTTTTTTCCATCTCGACTCCAACTGTTTTGTTCAATGGCAGACGTCTCTTGCGTCAACAGTCAAGTAAGCCATATATCCGTCGCTTATTTCTTTTTTTCTTGCCACCAATATTTGCATTGTTTATATTTGTGTTTTACCGAATTGCAGTGAGCTGGCTTTCGTACTCGGTTTCAATGTGAAGTTTGGGCCAACATGTTTGCCGCTTTTCTCCATCCATCGCCCGGCCACTTGTCGAGCTTCTGATGCTTCGAAAACCTACAAAATCATCCTGTTTCCTTGAAGATATACGTGTCCCTTTTGATTGCAAACAGCAAATCAGTACTAAACATTAAAAGCAGGAAGACATCCCACGTAATTATATTTAAAAAGACGCCCATACAAAGTTATTTTAGGTGGAATCCGTGCTAAACACTCTGCAAGTTCACTGAAAGTCTTCATTTGCAATTTTTGTTTATCCTCCAACGCCTCGCTTTCATGACTAGGCACCAGTTTTTTCCCGCGTGTCCGCCATTTGTGAATACGGTGTATACTTTTAGTTACATCGGGAGAAATTTTCGATAGCCTTTTTAGACCTTTTTAAAACTTAACACGAAAAAAAATCATGCCTTCCCCCACCCCTCCCCAAGGGGTGCCGCCATAGCTCACGATTTACCAGTAAATTATGAAACCTCCCAGATTTAATTCAAGCAAATTTGTGGACGCTCAGTTTTACATAGCCTGTTTCAGGCTTCAAGAGTAATAATGTGCCAGACCGTATCGTGTTAATTAACGAAAACCGGGCAGGGGTGGGGAGTGTGACAGAAAGTTTTTCAACTTTCGGGCGATTTGAACACTCAACGGAACTCGGCGCTTTAACTGTCGATTAACTGCTGGGGAAACTAAACTCAATCGCAACTCGCTTGCCGGGAAGAGCCGTCACTTCTCTTGAGGTCCGGGATCAAACCACTAACTGGTACAGTAAAGGCAACCTGAACTTTGGTTCCAACAGCGTTCATTCTTGTACACGTAGCGTAACTTAGCTCACAAATGTAATCGGCAATGTAATCAAAAAATCAGTTCAAAGCAACTTACTTATATATGATTTGAATAACCATTGAAAAGAGTACAGTAGACATGCAAACAGAAATCATTTAGAAGCAACGCATGAAAATCAACTAAAAGAGATAGTTATAGCTTGTTGGTGTTGCTATTTTTAAAAAGTAAAAGTACTGGAACAATAGCTAGCTAAGTTTCTTAGGTTAGCAAAATAGCGTTTATGTACATTACATTACAATGTGAATGAAATTGCAAGGTCACTAGACGGTCTTTTCAAACAGGATGAAACGAGGACTAATTACTAGTTTCCTAGTTTTAAAGCAAAACAAATATATTACGAATTTGCAAGTCAGGAAAACCTTCCATTTCCAAACTCAGCTGTTGCCACTATTTAACCAACAGACTAATGAACGTTATATTCGCAAACACATGTAGGTATAATGCAATTAAAACGAGGTACATCTGTAAAAAGGCGCTAATGTGAACGGATGTCTTGCAGAATAAGAAGAAAGTTAAATTAAAAGATAAACTAAAGTTAATAGCCAAGATTCTGAAAACTAATGATTTTTTCTAAAAGTCAACAATTAAAGTAAAACGAGTCCAGTTGAAAAGAGTAAGTGGCAAATAGTTTTGATAGCTGTAAACACTGTTGGCTTTTTCTAGAATTATTGCGTTAACGAACAGTAAGTAATCATGCAAACAAGTACAATAAAATGGCACGAGCTTTTTTGTGGAGCAAAAACCTCTTCATGCAAATTCAGTATGAATTACTAAAAACAACGTCAAAGCGAATATTTGAATGCTACATATGAAATTCGAGGCAAATAAAGAATTCACGGAAAATCTCTCCTTACAGGAGAGAGAAGGCGATCTCTCTCTCCTTACGTTTTCGTTTTCTCTTTCCCAGAGTCCGTGTTACAAATAAGCCTTGTCCAGCGGAACGGACAACCGGCCTAAGGATGAGTTTTGACAATAATAGAAAATGACTGGCAAAGCTTAAGTTTATTATTAAATTTGAAGGTGTCTTTCTTCTAATTAAATTAACAACCAAACCAAAGTAAGCTAATTTTAGCTAATTTTTAATCAGCTTACCGTGGTTTGGTTGTTAATTAAAATTATGCAAAAATGACTAGAGTTTGTTATTCGAGGGTCTCAATGGGGTGGTGACTTTTACGGTTATCGGCTAAAGTTTTGACTCTTTTACGATTACCGTTATTTTTTTCAGTTAAAAATTAATGTATTTTGTTTCAAAGAGTTAAGTAAAAATAAACCTGTATTTTGTGTAACTTTAAAGAAAAATAAAGGTCTTAGGATCATCTCGGGATCAAATAAGTTATTCTTTTGATAAATTTTAATATTTTATAGATAATACTTTTACGCACAGTTAAATCTCCATGTGGGACCACCTCTCGTAAGCGACCATCTCCCATAAGCTACCGCCAATCCAAAACTTCAAAACTGGAACCTCTAGTAAACGGCCACCTCCTGTAAGCCACCATGACCACCTTTTAGGCTTGAAAGCTTAATGATTTTCCATAGTTTTTAACCTCTTGTAAGCGACCACATGACGCATTCTCTGATTTCTATGTTCGCTGTGTGTACTATGCTACTTATAATACACGCAGAACTATATATTAGTACTTAGATGGAACTACTCATGACGTAACCTACAAATTGCAAGAAATAAATTATCTTCTATCAAGTATATGTGTCCGGCCCTTATCTCTTTATACCACCACGATAGGGTCTTTACCCAATTGAAGAACAGACTGTAAAACATGAATTGAAAGAGGACGAGCAAAATGATTGAGAAGTCGAACATTTCTGTGACTCTCACATTAAGTGTCGTAGCCAAGCTGAGAAGTACGGCTTTGAAGATATTTGAACTGATGAGAGTTTTCTCATTGTCTTAAAATCATGATGATAAGCGCTCTTTGTTTAAAATTAAATGAAAATAATAATAATAAAAAAACGCACACACACATTCAAAAAACAATTTTTTGTGAGAGGGATGAAAAGTATCATTCCTGATAGTAGATATAGCAGTTCATTTAAAAAGAATCCTCGTGAAAAAGCAAAAGGAGACACAAAGTAGCCGCAAAATAAGGAAAAGCACAGGTCATAAGTGAGTTTAGCAGCTTCCTTAAAATCATCAAACCTAGGGAACAAATGTTTTTTACGGTTAACTCGTTTTACCATAATTACTTCTAAAGGTTAAAATGTTTCAATTTTTAAGGCTTTCGACTAAATTTTTAGTCGTTTTACGCCTATCGGTTAACCCCATTAAGACCCTCTTAGGGAGAGTCCCTGAAACACCCAATATTGCAAACAAGATTGCGACCTTTAACTAAGGTTTTGTCAAGGTAATAATCTCAACATACCCAACAATGAATTAAGCCAATGCAAGTTAGGGCGAAATCTTTGATTTTAACATCATCACCCTCTGCCTGCAGATTCTCGTCTTGTGGACACCTCTTTTAAGCGTCACTTTAAACAAATAAAAAAGATAAATTAACCGTCCCAAATATCGGAATTACTCTCAGATTGCTAATCACTTTACTATTTTCTATATTATAAATAATTGCCAATTTAACTTCTTTTGGGAGAACTTCATTTTGCCTTATCCTTAGGGTGAGGCATTTTTCCAAATTTTTTGAGCCCCACCTTTTTTTGCGTTTCCGTGCTCAATTTGATGTGTCTTTGCGTTATTTGAAAGTAATATTGACAGTGTCATACGAGAAATAAGATGAGACAAGAAAAGGGAAGGTGTTATTCATGACAATACCTCAAATCAATCAAACAAACAAAAAACATCGAAAAACTGAGCACGGGATGAAATGAAGGGAATATTATACAGAGTGACATGCTGGTAACATAACTTTCAAGACCGTAGGATGAAAGAGTTCTGTCTTTCGGAGATTTTAAAAAAGGCCTCTTTTAGTAATATGTTAAAGAATGATTGTTTTCATGCTCGCCTTCACTTTTTAAAGCAAGCGCTCAATCTCTTTGTCTCGGATCTTAGACGAAGCGTTTACGTCCAACCTCGTTTCCAGGATTTACGAGGAAGAGAGACCCTGGAAACGAATTTGTAGATCGCGTGACCTGCGCGTCATAATCCCCGCTTCGGTGATTAAAGTATGTCCCGGTTTGGACTACACGATCGCTCATCTTAGCTGGAGTAAATGTTAATTAAGCGAGAAATTAAAGGGAGACTGAACTAACCCGTCGTCAGAATGCCAGAGATGGAATACAATAACTTACTCTACCAGATAAGTGAGAGACTAGACGAGCTGAAAGTAGGCAAGCAGTTACTGTTTTTGTGCAGAGAGAAAGTGACGGCTCGAAGCGAAGAGAACTTTCAAGCGAGCTCGTTGTTTGAGGAATTAGAACAAAAAGGATTTCTGAGTCCCGATCATCTAGTCTTACTGAAAGGCATGTTGAAAGGAGTTAATGAATGGGCTCTTTTTGACGAAGTTGAAAAGTTTGAGACCAAGAGAAAGGAATACAACAATTTGCTTGAGCAAATCGTCCGAGTGCTCGACGAGCTTAATGATCTGGAACGACTCGTCTCGATTTGTGGAGAAAAGATTACAGCAGAAAGACAAGGCAACGTTCAAGACGTCCGATCACTGTTTAAGGAGCTAGAAACCAACGATTGGCTGGGGATTGACTGCCTCGACACTCTGAAGGAGATTTTGACCCTGACGGAGAAAAGTGATCTGCTCAAAGAAGTAGAAGAATTCGAGCAACGACGAAGTCGTGAAAACAAGTTTAGAAAACGCAAAGGTAGTTCTACGTGTCTGCGGATCACATTTTTGGCCCTGCTTCCAATCCCAGAACTGATTTGAACTTTTGTCTGACTTAACTCTACCTTTTTTGTTTCAGCACAAGCAGCCGCTTTTGTGTCGTCAGTTAGCGACAAACTGTCTGGAGGTAAGTTTAGTTTCGTGCTTGTGCATGTACTTCTACTGAGTTTAACACGTTCATGTTCACGTTAATTTCGAGTCACGAGAAAATATAAAATTCACACTTTAGCCAAGAATTGACTTTGATTATTTCTTCAATTCCCCTAATATAATTTAATCCAAACATACTTTCTGAAAGCTGCGCCAGTGACAGAGTTAAGGACGACGGGCCGCCGGATTCTTGCGCTTCAAACTATCTTTAATAGAAGCATCAAGGCAAATAAAACAGCATCAATGGAACTCGGCCTCTGATTTACAAGGCAGAATGAAGCGGAGAGAGGTATATAAGGAAATAGACTTAAGTTTGCATAGTTACCAATGAAGGAAAAAAATATATAATAAATTGAAATCCCCGGCCCAATAACCTCGCAGCAGCGTGTTGACACTAATGCTCGACAGGGAAATACATCTTACCACCTGCTTAGCTTGAATTTGGTGGTTTACTACGGGAAAATAATTTATTTTAAGGAGCTAAGCACTATTCTGTCCATAGTCGACCGTAGACATCGTTAGTCTGGAGGATGCGAAGTCTTGCAAGCAATGAAGTGAATTGTATCTTAGAGCCGCATAATTAATTAAAATGTAAACGAGTCAACGATTATTCTTAGTTTGCAATCACGTGACAAGACGGCCATGTTGGTAGACAAAACAATAAAAATTTTGTTCCAGAATTTGCAAAGGAGAAATATTTAACGTAGCAGAGGTTTTAAAGCCCAGGATAGAAAACTTATTAGCCTACACAAGTTTTCGATTCTATCACGGATATCTAGTGATAAAGTGCGGCGCTTTGTCATATTATGGTTTATGCTGCGAATCACATGACAAAACGTCAAAGAAATAGTTGAATTGTTCCCAGCGTGACGTCGCTGCCAACCAGAGATAGCTAAAACCGGTGTGTGCGTTAAAAAGCATGGCTCGCAAGAAATACTACGCATTGCTTTTTTTTAAACATTTTATCAATCACTTTTTAAGCTGCTCTTAAGTGTAATCATCTCTTGCAATTGGCAACTGAAAATATTTTTTCTTAATGGCACCGAGGGATTTTTGCAGTCCCTCAGGAAAAGGACCCATCAGCAAGAGAGAAACCAAAATGGAGTCGTAACTATTGATCTTATTTTTAGAACCAATGACGATCATTTTAACAGACCAGAATAATAATGTGCAACTTCTGCGGCGTAATTATTCCAGATTGCACAAGAAAAATTAAGATCCTACTCCTTTAAAATATTCATGAAATAATTTACTATTGGGCGATGACAATTGCACTGCATATAAAAGGTAATTCAGGGAGAAAGGAAATAACAAAGAATTTTATTAGAACACCATAATTTGTTCCAGAAAACTGGAGCTCTCTTGGCCAGTGAGAATCACATCTTTTTCTGAATATTACCCGTAATATATAGATTTAGCCAGGACTAAAAGCGAGGCTCCCATTAATAAATTTATAATTTAAATCAAACAATAAACTTGTATTCCACAATTCAGTTAACTTTAGAGCACATTCATGTACCTTTTCAGGGTAAGGCTAAGTGATTTTAGACAAAAATAATTTGCAAACAACCCCAAAGTGAACCAAATCTTACATCGAGTTGATGGCCTCATATGTACACCCAAAAACTGGCAATCGTCTTCGATCACATTTTTTAAGAGCCATAATGGCTCTTGATCACCGTAGGTTAATTAGGCCTGGAAAAAAGTTCTGGCCGAATTTTTTGCGTTCGACAAGTTTACTTTACAAAATCTTGCCAACAAATCTGGGTGCGTGTAAACCAACCTTATTATCATTTATACATCACATCTGAGGTGAAACAGTACTATGAGGCACCGTTTTTATCATACAGAACTCGGACAATAGAATGCAGTATTTGACAGTTTTGCAATACAAATTGCTATCATTCAATATTCAGGACGATCGAAGCACGCGTGGGCTTTAGCTAAACCGTTAAAAAAATTTCCAAAATCACCTATACGGCCAGCCGGTTCTGACTTTTGCAGTGCTAGGTGTGGCGAGTGTTTGAATGAACATTAACACAGTTAGGCTCCAATATATATAATAAAGAATTTATTATGTTTATTTTTTACTTTAAAATGGTTTAACGCGCGGCATTTTGAGTACTCTGGGAAGCGTTGTTCACTGAACGACTGAAAACAATCGGCACAGCGATTAAAAATACAAGAGAGACTACTAATAATCAATAAAAGAAATATAATTCGGTGAAACATATACAGAGACGACAATTTTCATTCAGGAAGGCAAGCATTAAAGTGTCTCTAAAAATCCTGAGTCTTCAAGCTTAAAGCTGAAGTTTTTGTTTTAAGCCGGCTTCCCGGTGTTTGCTTTTTTCAAAGACGAACTCGAGGCAAGAAAATCGCTCAAAGCTTCTTTTACAGCCAGAATTATAGCTAAAAATTCTTTGGAACGTGTTCTTTCTATATGCGGTGAGAAAATGAAGGCTTTTTAAAGATCTGTAAGCTTATATAAACCTGATACTCGGTCAGATCATTGTCTCAAATCTTACAAACGTGCGTACACAAAATAGCCGCATAAACTACGCTCGACGTCATTAGAAATAAAAAACCAAACATCAATACAATAATTACTCAGACTTACCACTCGAGATGCAGCTCCTCAAAGGCATTAAGTAGGGTGAAAACGAAAACGATGCCATCCGAAATCGGATTTCCAACTTTGACAAGTGACGTATTTCTCAACCAAAAACCCAATAAACAAACTAGCCATGAATAACAGAAGACTTCCGAAAGCAGCTGAATTTCATTTTGTACATCCAGTGGAGTAAAAAGTAAACAAGATTCAAGATGCTGCCTACATTTTCCGCATGAACTCACCTGTCAAATTTTGACCAATCAGAGCATAAAAATTGGACGTAGAACGTGACCAACGCGTGAACATGATGAGAAAAGTCAAAAGCAACTGTCTTCCCTGCCTGTAGCAGCTGACTGAATTTTCGCGTCCGAGGTCAGTTTGAAATCAAAATTTTAATTGTGCGGCCCATAAACACAACATATTTCATATGAATTTTTTTAAAAAATTAAAGTTGAGCCTGCGATCATTTGAAAACCAGTCCTTGTCAGCGGATAAATTCAAAAAAATACTTGACCCTGATGAGTCGACACCTGAGCCCGCGATTCGCTCAAGTGATACTGGTCAGCGGATACCTTGTTTTGACAGCTGTCAATTGATCACAACATTGATGTCCGATATGTGTATCAGTTTTCTTGTGCTCCGATCCCAAACTAGCTAAAAAGTATGAGATTGAACATTGTTCGCGATCTACTAAAACGATTAACTGGTCAGTGGACAGCTTCCAAATAAATCACGTCACCTCGATGAGTTGACACATGAGCCCGCGATATGGTCATGGGATACTGGCCAGTGGCTATCCTGTTTTGACAGCTGTGAATTGACCATTTGTGAATGTCATATATAAAAGATGAGGACTTGCCAAAACACGCCTGAGACACCCCTCCCTTCCTTTTGATAGTCTCCCCTACCCTACCCATACAATCTGTAGACGCGTACGTACGTACGTACGCTCGGTCAGTCACATGACAACCAAGCGAAAAGAGGTTGACCATATTCCATGAGTATGGGGCTCCCGCGCGCGCGAAGCGCGCGTGGGAGCCCCGCTATTACTGATGTCAAACTTCTACCTTTTCATTTTTCGTGCGCTTGATTGTTGCCTCTCCTCTTCCTCTTTCACATGATGTCTAACATCAGTCGTGATGGCCTTTTCTTACTCCATCCCTAAAGTATCTATCAACGTAATGAGAAAGCTAACGTGATAATAATTCTGTTGTTTGTGTTTTAGTCCTGACCGTTAAGACCGTGTTCAAAGTGGTCGCAGGAACCTTTAATGTTGCTTCCAGCTTAGCACTGTTGACACGTGACTGTACTTATGATCAGCTCGTGAACGCCATAAACACCTGTGTGCTTCCTGCTGGGGCCAATCTGATTCAAATTTCAGAAGGATGCGTGTGTCTCAAAGTTCATGTAAAGAATATTTCAGCTCTCGAGGATTTGTGGCGTTTGTATAAAGCTGGAACACTAAGAGCAAGTTTGCAAGCTTTATTTGTTACTGACGAAATGCGAGAACTTGCTGGTGGAGAGCAAGTGGAAGTGGATGTGACCATCGACGAAGAAGAATACGACAAAGCTCGAAACGAGCTATCAACTTTTGGAGCAAAAGGTTATAAAAGCACTCTAAAATTCATACAAGCAACATAGTTACGTATTTCAATTTGATTTTACTGCTACCTTGTAGAAGTTTGGCAGTAAGTGACTATATATCCATTCAAAGGTTCTGCTAAATAGGCCCCTCACGTCGTAAAAAATCGAGGATTGTGGGGAGCATGGGACGCACTGGAACAGAAAAAGTTATGTGCTCTGATCATTAAAATGGTAATTTCTTTTGTTTGGCTTCTCTCGGGGCGTCTCTTGCTCTACAGTATGGCAGTTTTGTACCTCGTGAATGGCTACCCATTAAGGGCCTATTTAGAAAATTCGGGCCGTACAAAAAATATCAGTCCTCCGAGCTCGGCAATTTGGCAACCCAATATGACGCTGATTCACTGACAGCGTTTTGAACTCAGCGCTAGTTGACAAAAAGGACTCTACTTTGGAAAGGAACCCATAGGTCCCTGCTAAAGGCTAAATCGCTGTTAAGTTGTAACTTAAATTGACCGGCTATTTTGAAGCTCATGCAGCCGTACAATATTATTTGTTGTTGTTCTATACCAAAACATTTTGGCCTCTATCATGGATGGTCTTAACCTTAAAAGCCACCTCAAAGCCCTACAACTTTTCATTTACATTCTCGCTTTCACAATAATTTTTAGAGCTTTAACTTAACGATCAGTGTCATTGACACCTGTATTTTTGATACCACAGTTTTGAGTCCAGATGAACTTGATGGTCAGGAAGAGAGACAACTTCAATACCTAGATCAGGAAAAACTGTCCTACATTACGAATTACTTAGAGCAAACCAGGGAAACAGATGTACACAGTGTATCTACAGAGGAGGACAGTGGAAAGCCGGGATCAAATAGTGCACCATCGGAGTTTGGATTTGAAGAAACCAGCGGTATGACTCAGTCAATTCCAAGAGTACCCAACCCACACCCCCTGAGCATTAGTATAGGCACTGGCTGCTCGTGTGCATATGACAGGAAAGTCAGAGATCTTAAATATACTATCGTGCGAGAGGGTTTTCATTGCAGTTGAAAATTGGATGGCGAGGTGTTCTCGACCTAGCGGGCTTATTTCGCTTCAGAACGACAGCCTTTGTAGCTAAAAACTGCCAAGCGGTTTCTGCAGATGCTGTGTTTTGTTTTCTTAATATTTTTGTCGAAAATGAGCGGACAAATGCAGAGTAAGTTGGATAAATAGAATATTTTAATTTCAACGCGCATGTAGCAGAAAGTTGGTTGTATTAAAGCGCTAACTGTGTTCGCCGTAGTTGTCCGATTACTCATTTTATTCCAACACTGCTTTGGGTAAGAACAACGTTTCAGTTAAGAGGTAGTTTGTCTGCTCTCTTCCGCTATTTGTGCGTTTACGTTCACAAATGTGTTAATCTATCATTTTAGCATTAAATTTGACTAACATTTTGTGGAGCGATTTCTACGGTCACGATTGCTTTCAAACTTGCAGACATAAAACTAGAGAGCTCAAGGGCTTATTTGCTGAAGTTAGGGAAAAATCTGTCGTGGGATTTCGAAGTTATTTTCATTTTTCGTAAAAATGAGGTTTAAAATATATGCCGATATCTCAAAAGTTTTTGTACCTGTAAGAAAATAAATAACATTTTCTTAAAGTTCCATCATTATTTATTAAGGATGCAAAAATTCGTAGAAATTGGTTGAATCTTTCGTTTTCAAAAACGCGAATCAAAAACATAACCAACACCGATATAAATGGGAACGGGCCACCTTAAAAGGAAATAATTGTGAAAAAGAAAAGAGAGCACAGCCACTCAGAAATAGCAAGAGCTAATCGCGCTGAGTGGCTCGGCCATGCGGAAAAGTAACCCGGATTACGCCTTAGCCTTCAAGTTCCTGTTTTGGAAACGAAATATATACACTTTATCTGTCTCTTCAATTTTTTCTCACAGTCCCCTGGATTCAAACTCCTGAAATTAATTCATACTAATTTCATTGTCCGTTCCGTTTCAATCGATAGCAATTTAATATGCTATTTATTTTAAGTCAACATTTGTTAATTTCAGATTTTGTTTTTGCCTTGTATTTGCAGATTCCACCTCTAAGCTGTGCTTGAAAGATCTAAGTATGGAATTTACTGAGGAACTAACGTCCAAGCTGAATAGGAACAAAGATGTTCTAAACCGATTTTACCGGTCATTTGGAATTGATCCTGATTTACTGCAAGACAAACTCGGCCGGAGGAACATTGGAAAAATTTTTCCCGATACCCCAGTCAAGCTGCTGAAGGAAGTTTTTGAGGCGCTAAAACTGTATGACTTTGCAGAATTCTTAGAGAAGGCAACAAAACCACGGACACTTCGCCCTGCTCTTCCGCTAAAAGAAATTGAAAAGTTATCGGACGCCCGTAACCGCCCAACAAAGGTTTACAGTAAAGCAAAGGTTTTAATAGTCGATGTCTGTGAAGCCTGTGAAACCTCCACAGACAGTGATGTAGAAACAGCTGGATCATTTTTTAAAGCCCAGAATTCGCGGAACGAGGTAACCACATTAAAGACTGATTCTTTTATGGAATTGTTAGCAGATCTTAATGACCTAACGAGAGGCATGAGAAAAGAAGAGAGGGATGACAGCAGGACACAGACAAGGGAAACAAACTTGAAATACCTTCTGATAAACAAGATCCCAGACAGTTGGATCAAATTGAAAGCAAGAGAAGGGTTAGGAAAATTAAATATTATGGAAGAGGTTTACTTGGAACGAGAAGATGAAATATGCATGGATCTGATGACACGTTTTAACACCCTGAAGGACGAGCAACTATTAACATTGTTTTCCAAAGAGGAGCCTGCGATGAGAAATGAACTAAAACAGCTGACGGAAAAAAGAGAACAATGGAAAACCGAAAGGAAGCCATTAATCGAGAAGCAGATAAAGGAGAAGGCGGAGGAACTGAAAAAAGAGACTGAGAAATTTGAAATGGCTGTTTCAAGCGTCATCGATAAATGGATGGAACTACACCCAAATGATAAAGGTCCGGTATCATACCCCTTGTAACAACCGTCCAGCAATGATCCAAACTATTTTAAGTCCTGTTTAAGCATGCATCCACTCACTGTTCGATATAAGTTATAAGACTGTTCGATGTAAGTTATAACAGTTACTATAGAGAGATCAAGATTCACGTTTACGCCAAACGGCAGACGGGAATTTGTACCACGTGACCCCCTTATTTTCTGTTTACTCTTTATTACTTCTACTAAAAAATAAGTAGTTTTATGCCAGTTTTAACCATAGGAATCGTTCAAGACTGTTTTAATCTGCTTATTTTCTATTCTGAGAAATTCTCAACTTAAATCTCTCTAATAAGTCAAAGCTGAACCTTCAGCACCCTGGTACACTCATGTGCACCCTGCGAAACTGTGATCCTTATAATTAACTCAAGTAAAAAGTCAATTATAGCTCCTCTTAATCTTTTTCCTCTTTCAAAAAGCTTAAAATTGGCATGAAATAATATCCAAAACTCATTAGAATTCTAAGCGCGGCCTAACTTTATTTTTGTCCGTTATAAAATGTGAATGATAAGAGACTTTTTAACAAAAAAATCTCTGGTTTGGTTTTTGTAGGAAAGGCGTCGACCCTTTATATCGTCCTCATTCAGAATAGCCTGAGATTGGAGCGAAAGAGTGGTGCAGTTCTAGAACAGATGATTATCAGCATAAAAAGATGCTTGAGTGAAAAACTGGCACTTATTCCAGAAACAAAGGTAGTGATAACAAATAATGTGCCACGTATGGCGGAAGAAGGAAACATTTCAAGCGAAACTCTTGAAGTAAATTTGTCTGGAGAAGGAGTGTTAACCACATTGCTACAGCTTCTGGGCAAGCGCTTAGATACACTGGATCTCATTTCAGTGATGCAGGAATTGCAGAGGACGCTCTCTCCAACAGTCTCTCGTTCCTACCCTATCAGGTACCGTAAAGTTGCTCATACGCCGGTTCAAATACGTGACAATTTGTCGAGCGTTCCGAGACTTCAGAAGATGGAATAAGTCTCATAGATAAGCCGTACTCTACCCGAATTAACTACTCCCTTTCTTATATTCCCCTTCGATCCCGCCTTTCTTCCACCCAATTACAAATCTCTCGCTCATTCAGCCCTCTTCAGGTCCATTATTTGAGGTGCGTCTGCTATATAATAGCATAAGCCAGCCATCTACCGCATTGGGCAATTGGGTGTGTAAACATGGCTACTGAAAGAATCTATAGTCAACTGAGAGAGAGAGAGTGCAAGGTGTTGAAAAATGCGCTACGGCATTAGCCGCCCCGCCAAAGTACAGGGTAGTGTATTGTCGCTGGTCTTCTTTCAGTTAGATACTTAAAAGGTCAAATTACAACTGTGGACTGTACTGTCCTTAATCATACTCTTTACAATGTTTCCTCAAATTTGATTGGTGCATTAACAGCTTTATCTTTCACCAATCGGACAGTGTAATCGGACAGTTGGCTGTATCGGACACCTGCAACAGGACAGTTACATTAAAATCGTTTTAAGAACACTTTTATTCCAGGTATGTGTACATAAATTTTTAGACTAGTTTGTACATAGTTATATAGAGAGAGTTTTTCGCATTTTTATAGAAATGTTTTTTGTTATAATTTCAATTAGTATTTATTTTTTTGGAATTTATTTATTCTTAGTTTTAAGTAATTGTAACGCAATTCAGTCTACGGACTGCCATGTTCGATATTTTAATAAACTATCTATCTGTCTATCTATCTATCTATCTATCTATCTATCTATCTATCTATCTATCTATCTATCTATCTATCTATCTATCTATCTATCTATCTATCTATCTATCTATCTATCTATTAGCCAAATAAATCCACCAATGACAGAAGTTATAACAATAACCATAGCAACAACCACACCTACCCCACCAAACTGGGGATTTTCCAAAATGGACGAATTTGTGACACTAGACAGTGTCTCCGGTAGTGACATTTTCCCTAGTTTTGGACATTTGGTATTCAAATGCTCTTGCACTAAAACAATGCATTTATTTTCTCGGAAATTTTAACGGTTATGATTAATTGCTAACAGGACTTCGTGTCGTCCAATTCGGTCTATAATCACACACGTGATTAAACAAATCGGACTCCCGCTGCGCGGTCGTCAAATTTTGTTAATCACTCGTATGGTTACAGACCGAGTTGGACTCCACTCAGTCCCATTAGCATTATCAATTCTACTTAATTTTGTTTTACACATATTGAGAATAGAAAGAAACATTTGGTATAAATAGAAATAACAAGGAGAGTGAAAGGACCATAATAAGTTAGTAAACGCAGTTGCAATTTAAAGTAAGTGTTATTTAAGGGACCTGGGACCTCTGTGTCCCAGGTGATATGACTTGTTTTTTGAAAACATGGCCTGCAATTTTTTGTCTTATTGTGACATAGAATGACTGAACAGTCACACGCAGTAACAGAAAAAAAAATACGTACTCCCAAATGGACAAAGCAATGGCCAAAAGCCTGACACAGATAGTTGACCTACTGGACACAAAATCAGCACAAAGCACTGAAATATACCCTTGTGTCTCAGCATCTGGTTCATTAGCCTGCATACAGACCTTGTTTAATTTTTCTTTTCGTTCTTTTCAAAAACATCGGCGAGCTCGAGAGCGAAGCGAGCGCGCGACAACCCCTGTGCACTGGCGGTCAATAAATCCCCCTAAGTTTATTTTTTATTACGCGCGCTCGACGGACTTTGAAGAGCAAATAGAGGGTCTGTGAACAGGCTACTATTTCGTAGGTTTATAATTTAAACTTAAAACTAATCAAGTCAATTTTTTAATCATTTGTTCTGCATTTTTGATGCAGAAGACGAGTTTTTTTGTTAAACAACGACAAGGTGTCGTCAACCTCATTTTCGAGCACACTTGGTGTCCAAGCACTATTGCCTGACTACTTGCACAAATGTGTTCACACCTTGAGTACCCGGTATGTAACTGTGTACAAACTCCATCGATTTCGCCTTGTCGCGAGCGTAGCAGGGAGTGCGCCTGTCTTCACAACTAAACAGAAAACGTGTGCACACACCGGTACCGTGCCCGAATTCTGACGTGGATGCTAAAATGGGTGTGTCCATATTAATACTCAGGGAGTACCATACTTGGCCAGCGTGCATGGGCATTGAATGTTCAAGCTGGTTTTAATAATTGTCAACTAATTTGTGTAGTAACCATGCTGGGAAATGGCCAAGGATTAATAAAACATAAAGGCAAAAAACATGTTGCGTCAAAATTGTTTGAGCTTCTTACAGGTTGCAAGAAAACCAGGTAAATAGCAGCATGGTAAAGGTAATTATTGTTTACCTCATTATTGGTCAATTACAATTTACACGATGTCTGTACTGATCACTTCCCGCGGTCATTGGTGACTGTTGTGGAGATAACGATGATGACGATAATGATGGACATAACAGTAGACGAAACATGGCGGTCGCATATAAATAAAATACTGAGCCAACTTTTCAAAAATGCAATTACGCAAACCAAAAAAAACAAAATAGTATTGAACCACAACTGCTTACCTTTTTTCTGCAGTGTAATAGGAGTTATCACTGCATTTTATATTATCAAAAAATTCAGACATTAACGCGCACTCTGTTTGGTTGAAAAAGCGTGCTTTACGGGAGCCAGTATAAAACACGGAGCGCGAACTCAAGCTGTCACTCCATCTGCCAATAGTTTGTTTAGAAAATTAGAAAGCAATGTGTGGGAAATTTAAAGAAATCCCTAAGAAAGAAAAAAGCCTTGACCTTGTTCTGATCTAAAGCACACAAGAGGCAGCTACAGCACTCAAGAAGTAGAGAAAAACACTCCAATACGTCTTTTGTTCTCCCATACACTTCTTTCGTATTCGTATTCTTCTTTTCATGATCAGAACACAGTCAAGGTATCTTTATTTGTTAATCAAACAACGTACTTTCCACTGACAGTTAACAGTCTGTATAGTAGCGTAACTCATGTAAACCTTAACTCCTAGAGTAAAGTTGCAACTAAAACACTTTGGTAATGTTTAAAATTTGAGATTTGAGATGCACTTCAAACTGATGAAAGTTATTGATCGGCACCTTTTATGTGATACTCTTTATACGTTGTACAAGTACATTAGTGTACAAGTGAAGCCTTTCCATGTAGCTTAATTTTGTATTTATAAATTAAAATTAAGAATTTTTAAAGTTTCAACTTTGAAAACATGTCTGCAATTTACTTCGCATCATTGGAAAAGAGCGATACGTAAAAATCAGGAACAGATCGTTCATGACGATATTTCTTGACGATATCTTGAATCTTGAGTTTACGACAAACTTGAGGCAGGGAATACCTGTAAGCGTTAAAACAAAAGGTCAAAAGGGGTCGTTTCGACATTAGCGCTGGTGTGGGAAAAGAAGCCCCATTGCGAAGTGTGCGAAAAAGGTTTAAACGCTTCTAAGCGCAGGAAAAATGAAATGCGCGGGGAAATGATCGTGATTCACTTTTAGTTTTCAATGTATTTATCACAAGAAGGAATGTTTCACTGGTCTTCAATCACTATCTACGCACCTCCAAGTAGCAGGATACAGACGAGACGACAGACGAGATTTCAAAGCTATCTTCGAGGTACCTGAGTGGATAACGGATAGCACACTCTTTCGAGAGTACGACTTTCATGATTAAAAATGAAAAGATGAAAAAAATCGAACGCTTCACATTAACGAGGTCGTCTTCAGTTTCCGAACCTCTTACCTTGCACTAGTTGTCGTGATTTTCTCTGGTATCTAAACGAATTATTAGCTAGTAATAAGATAAGAGGTGACTGATGTTTTTCAGACCTTTTCGCATCAGCCTGTTGGGGACACTCATGACGAAAGAAGGGACAAGAAGACGAAGCCCGACAATCGCAATATTTTCACCCCCATGGCATTATCTCCACTCCCTGAACAAGTTGTTAAATGCAATTAGAACCAAACGAGAGTGGCAATCACCCATCTTGTGGGTGTGAATAAAAAGTGTTCTCTCCCTTTTTCCTTAAAGAAGGTTTCAAAGAAGCTACAGAACACAGTAAACAAAGTTCCAACTTAGATAGCGTAAGTCAGCTTTAACACTCTCAAAAGAGACATCACTTACGAGTCAATTTCCAGTCTGCGCCTACGGCATATATTGATAGCGGTCTGCCGTATCATGGTGCCCAGTGTCCTGCGGCTCACTACCATACCGTCCACCAAGGGCCCACCAATAGGGGACCTAAAAAAATGACCAATTATGTTTAGATTAAGGCGGGCTGGAAAAAACACACAAAGTTAACAAACATGATTGAATAATGTAGGCTTTATGAATAATATCACGGTATTTTGCAAGGCTGTCGTCCTTAAGAAAAACTTACAAGGTAAAAGTAAAAAAGAGGTAAGACTGATGTACCTGATTGTGGACCTGATATGGATGCGGTATAGCCCACTTCTCAGGTGATGTATAAAAATAACCACGGTGTCTTTCTCACGCAAGCTGTGTCCCACATTCTGACTGAAATCAAACTCCATCAGCAGCTCGTCCACAGGGAACTGGGCACGATCTTCAAACCGCTCGAGCCAGGCCACCACTACGTTTGTCTCGGACGAGGTGTTGTGCGTGCTCAACCTGGACAGCGGTCGACTCTCTAGTGAGAGTTCGTTACCAAGACGCGACATGGCACGGTTCTGAAACCAGAGAGAGCGTCTTGGCGTTGACTTAAACGATAATAACCCTTTCACCGCGACAGGACTAGTTCAGTCGGTAGAACGCTTGACTGCAGGGCGGGAGGTCACGGGTTCTATCCCCGGGACCGGACCAGCTCTCAGGGTCATAAAATAACTGAGCAATAAAGATATTGTCTTTGCCCTGCAGACGGCCAAACTTTCACTTGGCTTGGATGGCCACGTTAAATGGCGGTCCTGTCTCCATTGGGAGACGTAAACATAGTGGTGTCCTAATTATTAATAGTTTTATGCTAAATGCATTCACACTCCAATAAAGTGCGATTTTTTTGTTTTTGTCCAAGGAGCAAAAGTACCAGTGGTTGGTATGTTACGTTAATGCGAATTATCGCTATTGGCTGGATTTTTTCGGGTTAGTTTCGCAGATAATTGACTTTAACTTTACAATAATACTAGCATCAGCTAGACTGTTTGCAAAACCTTCTGTTAGTTTATGGACAGAGCAAGTCCTTAACTTCGTCCCGGTTTTTGGAAGGAAATTTCATTCATAAAAATTACTTTTGCCGCTTAATATAATGTAATGGAATGACACTGATAATAGGCCATAGGCACGATGGCGTCATTTTACTACTACGACACGAATCCTTCAGGGTTTTGCTTTCTTGTGCCAATAAGTGCTTTTGTTTTGTAAACCTCGCTGGGATTACCAAATTTAAATATGAAAGGAAAAACGTAAAGGATTCTGGTCGTAGTAGTAAAATGACGCCATCGTGCAAATGGCGCATTGACTTCCGCCCCATTGCTTCTTTCTACAATGACAGGTAGTCTATATAAGTAAGGTAAAGTATCACTGGCTCTCATATACCTCGTGTATAGTCATCCCTTCGGAGGCCTGACGGGATATCTTGCTTTTGATATCCAATTGGCTCCCAATACTACTTCCTTCCAGGCTCCCAGTGCTACCCGACCGAGTCCTTCTTCGCGGCATGGGCTCTACTTCCTCCTTAAAGCTCTCCAGCTGTTCTGCTATGCACCGAAACTTCTGATACCGCGGCAGGAGGGACGGCATGATAAACGCCACCTCACAGCTTACATCTGCGTAGTAAAGAATCTCATCAACCAGCTTGGTTTCAGTCGGAGGATGAGAAGGAGAAGAATTCACGGCTGGAGAATCCTTCCCGCTGCTCGGCGATGCTTCACTATCAAAACTCTCGCGACAAGACGCATATCGATCGCTGTCGCTCCCAGACACATCCTGTTCTTCGCTGCCTGTGAGAGTTGATACGCTATGAGAGGACTGTAAATAGCTGGACTCCTCAGGGCGCAAGGTAGATACACTACTGCCTCTGCTCCAACACTGCTTAATGTTCCCTGACCAGCCCGAGTGCGAGTCTATATCGACTAGCCATCCTAAGGAGAGTAGAAACTCACGGAATGCCTTGGAGTGCTTACAGGAACCAATCTGTTAGCAATACAAGGAAATGTTTGAAAAATTATATGAGCGTGTGTTTTATACATAATGTACTTTAAGTTTAATCTTCAATTCACCATGACCCGACAAAGACGGGAAGACAAGGTAGTAATAGAGCCACAATTATCTCGTGTTTGTTATAGAGTTATACAACATAAAGGCCAACAACAGCGCAACACATTTACTCCATGTCAAGTGTTTGCAAACATTTTTCGTGCAAACGGCATTCCCTACACTTTAAGATGCTCCGTCATTTTTTCTTATTTTGTTTCTAACTGGCGCGTCTCTCTTAAGTACTGACAAATGTTGTTTAATTAGAACGCCAATGACAGGCTGGGTCGTTCTTTATTTTCATATAACTTCATATTTGACAGAGTCTTCGGTGAATGCTATTCACGAGGACACTTTGCGTCGAATATCTCCAATAAGGTTCGTTCATTCCAGCAAATATGACAGATATTATGCTCACCTGGTTTTCTATGATTTCATGTGCGTCTGTTTGTTCCGCTTTCACGTAAAACAAATAAACTGTATCCTGTGTTGGCGTAGACACGTGATCAAGTTCCTTCAGAGCTTGAGAGAAACCGCTGGACGTGGAATTCAGTGCAAGCAGGCTCGCGTCCTCGAATGGACGCAATGGATTACCCTACAAAAGAAAGAAAGATATGTTGTAGTTGGCAAGCTTCCACCCAGCGCTGTTTGTTTAGTTCTGGCCCGTCTCCTCCTCCTCCCAATGTTCTTTATCGCAGTTAACTCAACAAATCTTGCACACCAACACTGGGCAAGAAGACAGTTAAGTGTCTCAACAATTTTGGCTGAGACTATGCATAACGTTCAATCTTGGACAAAAGTGTTAAGAAAAGTGGACATTGCCACGTCTAGTCTCAAGACAAAGCTCTTGAAAGCCCTGGCAACTACAAATACTCCTCCTTCTCCCTCCAAAAATGTTGAAATCCGGCTGGATCATTTCTGATCCCGACAAAACAACTTTGATCAGGGTGTGGCGAGGGGAAGGGCCGTAGCGGAACCATATCCGCAGTACAGGCGTTCTGGGGGTAAGGCAGTGCAAAATTCTCAACACTTTTTGTCCACGATTGTTGCCCTAAAGGGCTTAGTGGGTTACGCAGGAGAAAGATAGGTCCCCAATACATTCTGATGTCAAGGGACGACTAGGACTTGACGCGCCAGATGTGAAATCTTCTTAGTGTTCTGTAACGTAGTCTCTAGTTCAGTCGAGGGTACAGATTGAAATAAAAAGCACTTCCTTTGTCTTCAGTGCTCGTTGCCTTTTCAAGCACCCTTATCCCCAGGGCTGTTTGTCTTTCTTCCCCTTGAAACAGAGGAGGACGACGATAATCCCTTGGAACGAGGTTGCACTTGCTTTTCGTCACTTTTTCCAACCGAAATGTTGAGTAACCAAAGACTAACTGCGTTCGGGTCCGCAAGAACTGTTAGAGGAACGGAAGTCTGTCCTAAAAGCGTACTGTGATAGAGCTCTTTGATTACAACTCCAAGACTTTGGAACGAGCTTCCCTAACCAGATGTTCAATTTCTGTTTAGATGTTGAAGAGGGAACTGAAAACTTATTTAAATTTGCTTTCTGTAGTTCAATGACCTCGTCCTGAATTTTCTCCTTCTTTATAGGCTTATATTACAATTTATAAATCTTAATTTATAAAATATTATTATGGTATTGACAAAAACAGCAAGTACGTCTGACAAAATCCCTTTAAAAAAGCGCAAACAGAATAGCAGTATTGCTTTACCATTAGTCCTTCGATGGACAGTAAACCAAGATGAGAAAGCAAAAGACGAGATGGACTAAACTCCTTACATGGTCTGAAAAACACAAAGAGAAGTACAAAATTAAGTCAACTGAATCGAAATAACGACCAGGGCCCAGTTGCTCGAAGCATGGTTAGCGTTAACCAGCGTTTAATACCTTGACAATGTATTGGTTTTGATACTGCTTAACCAATGGTTAAACCTAACCATGCTTGAGCAACTCAGCCCAGGTTGAAAGTAACAGAAATACACCTGATAATATTCTAAACTCCCTGGGCAACCCCGTCGAGCAACGCTTCTTTAGCCTACCAAAGAGAAGGACAATGCGTGACGATGGAGATAACGGCTTCAAATACCGTAAAATAATCATCTATTCAGTCCTTCGAGCGGGGGGCTTATTTATTTCAATCACGGGTGGGGTGGGGAGGATAATAAGAGAGATCATTGGCTTATTTAAGAGGAGGCGGGGCTTATTTGATGTAGCTTAACATTGCGCTCACTCTATCGTTAATTGATTTGGTTGTTAAAAATGAGGGCGGAGGGGAAGGCCTTGATAACTTTCTTCTCTTGAAAAAAGGGGGGCTGTGCTTATTAAAGAGGGGGATAATTGAGAGGGGGTCTTTATAGAGGATTTACGGTAAGAATATTAAACAAATAACATGTGCTGTCATTCATCAACCCTGCTACTTACTGGGGTGGTCTTATTCCTGCATCGTCATCAGCTAATTTCACTTTCGATTTTCCCCCTTTTAATTTTGCCTGCGCCACTGTTTCATGCTCCAACTATTAAGCAAAAGACAAATCATGAAAGATATTATTTATTGTGGTATGTATAAGATAGGGCTCGTTTGTAACTTTCCTCAGAACAATCATTTCGTTATTGACCGCTACAACGCCGCAGGGAGTAATGCTCAGCAGTATATGGTAGAAAAGTGGGGATAAACAACGAAGTGACAATAGTAAGAAAAACGAGACTTATCATAAGCAAACGGAGTACACAGGTATGGAAATACTGAGAGACTCCTAAAGATTTCATCTAAATTTATAGATTTCGGACATTTCTGATATGACTGGTAAACTAAACCCAACCTCGTCCCCAGGGCTATTCCCTCCCATTTAGCCCTAGGGACTAGGTTGACGTAAAGGATGAGTAAAGCCCGGTCCTCACAAGTGACGCAAGCATAAGCATAGCATGGTCCACACTACTGAGCCAGATAATCATGAGCATAAGGAGCTTCTACGCTAGTCAGGAGGGACATACGCATATGGATGAACACAAGAATATCGAGCCCTTTTGTTCTTCTTATGCATATACTGACGTGTGTCAAGGTCGTCCTCACTCCAGCGCGTGGGTCAAGGCCGTCCTTGCTCTAGCGCATAAGCTTCTCATGCTCATGCATAGGCTTGCGATATGCTTACTCTTATACTTATGCTTGTGCTTGCGTCTCTAGTGAGGACCGGACATAAAAGACACGGAAGGTGGAAGTAATCATAGACCTGTTTCTGCATCAGTGCTCGCATATGGTCCTGCACTTCACTGAGTTTAGAATCTAAAATGTCATCCAGTTCTGGTATACTTCGATCTCTAGAAAAAGAAAAAAAAGGTATAAAATAAGAACTAACACTGCACGGAAATCGTTTGGTAACGGGTGGAAATGGAAATGGAAATATGGGAAAGAGGTGTTTTAAAGCATCAGAAAATGACTACTCCCCGCTCCTTACACACACAAACAACACTCACTGTTTTTTTAATCTAAATTTCCCGAATAGCCTGCGTTCAAGTCCTCCCTATATATATTTTATGTATTTCATGGAAAGCGAGAAAAAACTCCTGATCGTAGGTTATTTGCGGAAGGAAAAAAACGTATGTTCGAATTTACTCTGCGGCCCTGCAAAGTTGGAGAGAACTTTCATTAAAACAAAGTCATACAGCGCTTTTTGAGAAGGATTTAGAGCTGTTGGTCATAGCAAACGCCACCGTTTTTTCCCAAAGCGCACCTTCTTTTTCTCTATCCATCCGCACTATGCATGTGATACCGGCCTGATAACAGTAACGTCGGGTCTCTGTTCAAGCAAAAGGGTTCCAACTGAGATAAGGCACTAGCTTGCGTTGCAGACACTTTACACTGCCGGAATGGACCAATGGTTTAGACGATGGGTGAACCAGCTGCAACGCTGGCTATAAGGCACGTACAAAGCTATAGGAAAACTTGGAGGAAATAGGACGGATGTTGCAAAAGAAAAAAAAACAAAAACAAATTCAATAACGCTTTCGTGAGAGGCACTGTATCCACCTCTTCAGGGAAGGCCCGGTGTCTTATGTTCGGCGGGGGTCGAGGTTGGGTCTTGTCTGGTGAAGGGCGCCCTGGGTCCTTAAGGTGCGCCTCAATCAGGTCCTAAGGAGAAAGAAGCAAATTTACTAGAAAGAACGTTAGTTCTTGTGCAAAATATTACAATACTAAAGCATTTCTGAAGAAAATTGTTCGCCGTACGGATATTTGAGAGCAAGGACTTTTCAGCCCCTTAACAAAAAGGTCGTCAACTAGCTGCAGAGCGTAACACTTCGCATATGAATTAATGAAAGTGTCAAGAGTCATTGCAGCAAGCAAAAACTCAAGAATCAAAGATTGATTTTAACAATCAAAAGGATTAAAAAGCTATCCAAAAACGAGAAGAAGTAGAAAAACAATAGAAAAATTCAGTTCTTCAACTGTCATCTTAAACAAGGCTGATTTCAATGGTCAAACGTTTACATCGGCTGAATTAAGCTGAAATACCACTGATCTAAGCCAATCAAATTGCAGAAATTTCTCATGGAGCAGTATAAAAGGATTAATTGAATAAATAACATGAAGTACGGTACATTTTTCTGTCGTGAAAACTGTCTTAACTGCATGGTCCATACATAACGACCAGTGGGACCACGGATAACTGCTGACAAGGTCGGTAAAGGGTCTAACAGAAAAAACATACATATTGACGTTATCAAGTTAGTGTAAAATAAAGCTTATAGAGAGGCCGAGTCACACCGTCAATCTCTTTTGTTTCAACACAGGGTTTAGAATTGGTGAAAATCGCTTAAAATCAATGGGATTGTTGATTATCTTTTAAAAAAGAATGCGATGCTTTCCGTGGTTCATTTATTTTATGGCAAACGGTAACCTTGCTAGCATATTAAACGGACGTCGTTGTTTTGTGGTACAGTTGCAATTCATTATCAGATCAAATTTGTCTTGTGTGTAGCAGTAAACAGGCACAAAAATTAAGCCATCAAGTTCTGGGGAATCTTCATGAAAGAAGAAAATTCTTCACTATGAATGTCATTTTCTTAAAAGCTCTCTAAAGTAAGGCAGAGCAGTAGTTTCAAAGTGGGTGATATCTAAGGGGCTTGTCACAAACTCAGTAAACTGGGCCCCAGGGCATTCAACCCAAAAGCAAAGATGTAGTCTCCCTATATGAGTGCAGTTATGGTGAAAAAGGCTTAAAATAATCACGTATCCCGCGATGAATAACTCTGAGTGATGCAAGCTGAACAAAAGGAAAGCTTACCTTTGTGCTTTAGGGATTCTTCTAACAATCCTAACATGATACTACTATCCTGGATTACAAAATATTGGAATTTGCGGGGCGTCTGATGAAAAATAAAACACATAACATGTGAAAAACTTGCTAATAAACAGTAACAAAAGAGTCTGGCGCTCGTCTGGTGCCAGAAAGCAAGGAGAAAAGTACCGAAAAAATGAACTGGTGCCAAGAACGCGAGAGGATAGAAGTGTTGTTAAGCAGTCTCGAAAACAAGGAGAAAAGCGCGGGAAAATGAACTGGAGCCAAGCGCGGGAAAGAAGACAACTGTTGTTTAACAGGCGGGAAAACATGTTGCCGGCTCCAAACTCAAGTACTCAATACCGGTGTGCAAAGAAATAAAAGCGCGGGAAAAATGAACTGGTTACAAGGACGACAAACATGTCGCTGGCACCAAACGTTAATAAGGGACTTGTCAGAAATTAGCAGGGGGGGAGGGGGGTGGGAATTTTAAATTTGGGTTCGGAAATGAGGTGACCCATCCCTGCAATGGGAGTGAAATTTTCTAACCCTCCCCTTGACCTTGGCCTAAAATATCATGACCCTCCCCCTCTTGTATAAATGATAAAATCTAGTTCTTGCAATACACTAGGGTGAGTCAGTATTATGAAAGCTCAAAATATATTTCTAATCTGTTCTTTGTAATGCCATATACATACATTTTAGATGACAGCATTAAGCTGAGTCTGACTCTGATTCTGACAGCTGATCACTCCACTCTCCTATTTCTCCCAGGTGTTTTTTTACAAAATAAAGAACTTCTTTTTTCTTCAGTGGGTGAACCTCTACATGATCAGGGACACATATTTGCATGACCCTCCCCCTTTTAACAGCCCATTTTTCACGACCCCTCCCTTTTCTGCAGTCTCAAAAAGTTGTGACCCTCCCTCTGTTTCCACCCCCCCCTGCTAATTTCTGACAAGTCCCTAAGTACTGGAATTTGTGCAAAGGAGAAAAGCGTGGGTAAATGAAGTGGTACAAAAGGCAGGAAACAAACAAAGATGGCAGGGACGCAAGAGAGACCAAGACTCACATTAAATTTAGTGCGGACGCTGCGCTCAAAAGCAAGCAGCAGGTTATAGATGGTTGCTGTATAATAAACGTTTTGCTTTTTTTGTTTTTCGTGACAGAATACTGTACGTTATCTCAACTATTTAAAGACTAGTCTTGTCCTGACCTTTGTTGACCCATCGGCTGACTGCACCTGATCCAAAACCCAGTCTTCGTCCAGGAGAGATGATAACGAGGCTGGACCACAAGGTGAAGGGAAAGCTCCCTGTTGAATTAAAAGAAGAGTCTGACATGTTTCTCATTACAAACTGATTGGTCAAAGCACAAAAGTATTTCTCCCACTAATTTATCTAAAAGAGTTCACACTATCTCCTTATCGAGGAATGTGGGAGAGGCAGCGAGCGTCACTTCAAATCTGGAGGTCTGGGTTTGAGTCTTCACAGCGCCTCCGTACTAGTGAATACTGGGATAACTGTGTAATGAACTGGCATTGGCCTACCCTAGGTTCAACATGCTTCCAACATGGGTAACCTGTGCTCATATGGAAATTTTTAACAGTCACCATCCTTTCGACTGTGAACACCATTAATACCCGGATGACATACCAAGTGTTCCATTATGACAGTCAAGAGGCCTTCAGCTGCTTCTCTCACTCTGAACGATACAGGTTTCAGTTCTTTGTCACCTGCAAGGACGAGTACAACCATTACTGAAAAATAAAGCTGGACGTTTTTCCCACACAGGACGCGTTCTAATTACTTATTCGAAATCCTATGATACCTACAAATGTTTCCCGCTAAAAGCATCTGAGCGGACAACACTCCATTCTTTGACGTCAGAGGAAGTTATGATTTTATCAGTGTACTGTTTCCCGCATGTTCACCGCTCGGCGAGATTTACTTTCAATTCGTACAGTGTAGATATTTCTCCTTTTGTTCTACAATCATAACAAACAACATGATGATTTTAAAACTACTTAATTTTGTTTCCCTTGAGCCTCAGTGTTTCGTAAGGCAGATACCATTGAAAATAGGGAAGGAAGATTGACCAGAAGAAGAATAGAAGTTTGACCAGCCTACGCAAAGCCTAAACGTGGTTAATCCTATGGCCTTTGCTTATATCAGTACGGGAACATACACAAAATTGAGCTGACACTGCTAGAAGTAGAGGTAGAACCTTGGTATTTACCCACCTTTTAAACGAGGGATAAATTCTGTTCCTTGTTGATGATCCTTGAGATAGAAGCAAGAAAATGTTGGTAAGAACAGTCTTCATTTTTAGAAAATTAACAATTTGACAGGGAAATTGAAGGCTATGAAAAAAAACTCCAAATGGCCACTACAGAAACTTTGGTAGTGAAATTTAAAGGACTGCTGTGTCAAAACTGATCAAAGCTGTGATCGACTTACGTTGGCATCGTTTGTGACCTAAGAATTCTGTGTCAAATTGAGGGAGGCCAGTGCTGTCACCCCTGCGCCGTCTTGACTTTTTACCTCAAAAATTCAACGTGCAAGTGAAACTGCACTGGTTTGTTGTTTTACTTACTCTTGGAATTTCTCTGGACTTGCTTCCTGATATTCCCAGCTCAACCACTTCCATGACAACTTGTAAGCAGCCCTGCAAAGTTCAAAAACAAATAATTTCAAGATGCTGCTATTTTATGACCGTAAGCCTCTATAGCTGTGTATGTAATTTTTTTCAACGCATTAAATTGATATCCCCAAATGTTTTTACTTCTGTATACACTTTCTTATGGGTTAATTCAGAACTTCCAAAACAACGAAGTGCAGCGATTCAAAAGAAAGGTACTGAGTAGTACTTTGTACTGTGCCTGCCCCTACAGATGTATTCACTATGCAGTACAAAATAGTTCCAACTTTTGATTCTGTGGATAAAATCTTTAAGGGCGATCAAAGAAATCTACTGAGCAGTTCTTTTCTGTGGTGCTGTTTATTGCGCTGTAAACGATGGTTCTAACATTTACTTCTGGGAATGGAATTTTCATAACGTGACCATTGAAATGAAAGCAAATGTACACTACTTTTCAGTGGTGCTGTTCATCATGTTTTACATGGTGATTCTATATGTAACTTTCTATCCGACCATTTATTCAGCACTACTTTACTAAATGAAATTGGAATTTCTCTTGTGTTTTCCGTTTGGAACACTAGCCTTGCGAGTAAAAGGATTATACAGACATGACTGTCCAATAACCATGGGTGTGACGTTATCCATGTTTGCAGGCAGCTGAATGCAGCAACTATCATAGAATGTAAGTCACGTGAGTGATGTGTGGCTTTCTTATTGGCTTGGTATGATACATAATCACACAACCAGTGGATTGTACTCTTGCATTCAACTTGGTCTGAAAAAGGAAAAAACGTCCAACATTATTTTTCTCCATGTGCTTTTAAAAGTGTACAGCTGGATGGTTTATACTATAATAGTAAAATATAACTTATATAGGCTGCGTAGCTGGTGAAATTTTTGTGCGTGGGTTGGCGGCAGAGCCGCCACGCGAAGCGAGAACAGCGAAGCCGCGAGGGAAAATCAATTTGACTTGCTCCCAACCTTCATGTGGCTTCGCTGCTAAAACACTATAACACTCGCCTGCTAATCTCACCAGCTACGCAGGCTATAACTTATGCTTTTCTAACTGCTTTCTTCAAGAGGAAAACCCATGCTCAATATCAGTCTATTATTATTTGCTGAAGTCGTACTATTTCACACTCAAACAAGAAAATTAATAATACAATAATATATTTCTATTTACTCTAAACGATATGTTAATTCTCTTTTGCTTCGTTTCAAAGTCATTATCAGACAATGTACATTACCATACCCAAAAAGAAACTCAAGGAGGAATAAAACTTAAAACAAGGATAAAATTCAACCACAACATACATGAGATCTTCCTTACCCAAATGATCCATGCTAAGTACCAGGTCTAATCAATTGTAATATGGAATTGGCTAGACCACAATTTAGATTGTGAACAGGCTTCCAAATAACAGGACACTGTTGTTTGGAAAGGAGGAGAGGAATCTGGGATAATTTGAAGTGTTTTTGAAGATCAATATTCACTGAGAAAGAAAGAGGTCATTAACAAATCATGACTAGCCTGCAATCAAGCTCACCAGGACGCTCTAGTGGCAGAGCTGGAAGAGGATGGAGATGGAATTTGAATCCTACTGTGAATTCCCCTGTGGCTCCCTGTGAACTGGGCTGTCAGATTTCCGCCAATCAGCACAAAGGGGAAAAGAGTGCGAATGTAAACAAACATTAAAAAAAAAGGTGCCAAGGGTAGTGACGTTATTAGTAGTGTCATCTACGCCAATCAGCATTTTTTGCATCAACATTTTTGATGCAGATATTCAAATTCCAGAGATGTAGTTGCAAGCTCTCCTTTCTTTTCCTACCCCACCGCCCGAGTGCCGCAGAGAGCTTGCTCGCAGGCGTACACCATGCTTCATAGGTGATTAACTAAAGAAGTTGACAAAATCGAATTTGACAATACTCTGTCTGACTGACACAGCACCACAGTTTTCTTAAAAATAATGATTTACTGCTTCATTCAATAAGACAGTAACTACCGGTAACTCAGCTGCTAAGCTTGCACATTTTGTAACATTTTTCACATTTTAAAATGTAGTATGAATGCATACATGTACCATTTGACTGCACAGACTGCTGACTGAATCCAAGCTGGCCAACACTGTCCAAAGTACCAGTGCTGCCAGCCTCTGATATTGGGCTGCTACCAGTGCTGGCTCGGCGGCGAGCATCCTGAGGAGCCTGGAGATGATCAGACACACGTGCTGGAGTATCATCCTGCTTAGGGGAAGCAATCCCTTGGGACTCTGCAATCTCGCTGTCTTGGACTAGTAAGGATACCCCTGAAAAGAAATGGTCATGCAATGTATAGTAAAAGATAATCATGTGAGTACCAACAGGGTACCATAATACAGTCTGTGCTGCTGAGGGAACTTATTAGCACATTGGTCTAGAACCCTGATATATAATTTCAGAATCAATGAGTACTTGTCTTTTAGGAGGCTGAGGGGAAAGGATGGACAATATTAGATATAAAATGTTGGATGCAACAAGCATTTTTTTTTTCCATAGGGCACACAAAAAAGTACAGAAGACCTTGTCACATCCAACTTAAAACTTTCTTAAAACAACAACAAACCTCCCAGTAAGATCTGAACATTAAAAGAGTCTGCTTCACACTGCAGAGCTTCCAGCAAAAGTCTAGTGAGTCTGGGCTTTAGTGACATGAATGTCAGTGTCTTCTTGGGTTCTTGATTGTCTTGTTCAGCCGAGTTTTTCTTTCTCCGCGTTGCTGTCATGTCTAGAAAAAAATACAATAAACATAAAAGTAAAAAATAGCCTTTAACTCAAGGTACTAACCAATCTCAGTGAAGGGATATCCTCAATTACAGCTGTAAGTACAAAGATAAATTACAAATAAATAAATTATAAATACTGAAATTATCCACTCCCCTTACAGGGCTTTTCAGGGATACAGAAACAATAATTTAAAAAAAAACAATAGAAGATAATATGTTTAAGAATCCTAACTTATAAGAGGCAAACCAGTTGGCTATTTACAAGCGTTGCCAAGGATTTGAACTCGGGACTACCAAGAACAAATCCAGCTAGTGATCAGGGTGGGACTTGAACTTGGGGTTTCCGGATTATAAGTTAAGCGCTCTAACCACTCGGCCACACTGCCTCCACTGAAAAGGAGATAGCTCTGGATGACAGCAATGGAATATCAGTTGACAGTGAACTCAGAAGCAGCCAAAAGCTGCCAAATTCAAGGCAGGCCTCTTTTAGAATAATTAATTTTTAACAAAATCACAAACACCAGAGCAGTCTGTGACGAAGTGTTTGCAAAATACTTCACACCTTTTATAGGGAGATCTTGAAAATGCAGTGGAAGACACAACATGGATAACAGAAGATGTATTGCTGCCCTACGAAGCTCAGTGGTGGAGACGTTACACCTGTGTGAACATGGTGAGAGAAAAAGTTATGCAAGACAAAAAATTGTGATTACAGTCATAATGTAGTAAACCTTTACAGTTTTTAAACTCAACCTCTGAGTCAATATAATTATTTACAATGTACTGTACAGTGATGCAGAACTCTTAAATGAGCAAAAATGTCTTTTGGAAAAATGCTGGTAAAGCATGACATACAGGATTGACTGGAAATCACACCTTCATTTGTACAGTACATGTACATGATTTTGGAAGATACTGTTTTGTTAACATCCTGTTATCATTTTGCAAACCAAAGAATTCCAAAACAAAACCTTACCTACATGCACTGAAATGTCAGAATGCATAAAGATGTAAACTTTTCTTTTGACTCCACTGAATTTCTGATTCGTTTAAACAGTCACCAAATTTTATGAAATCTTCAAGCAGCATGTATATTAATCCTCCGTTTTGTAAACAACTTCCTTATAACAAAATCTCATCTTAGTCTATTAAAGTAACAGAAATCCTACAGTGTATATGAGAAACAAGTAAAAATTTGTAAATTGTAAACTTTTCTTGGGTATTGTTTGCAACTCTTATGATTGGCCGAAACCTTACACAAAAAGGCACCCTTTAAAAATGGAGTTTCATAAACTGCCTTTTGTAGGTTTATGCATTGTCTGGGTGAAAATAACATATTCTTATGAGAGGAAAGTGATCGCACCATAACAAAAGCAATCATTTCCTTTGTTACCAGGATCATTAATTAATCTGGACTTTGTTTGCAGTAAGATGGGGGGTGTATATCAAGGAACAAAAATAATGCAACATAACTATGGAACCACAAGTTGACAAATGCACCTATCAAAATGATACACCTGTGACAAAGAAAATTTTGTTTATTTTATAAATGCACATCTTTTATTTCTTCATTTCATTTAATTAGCTCTTATACAGATAATACTGCACCTCAGTTGAAATTCTTTCCTGGGTAGCACTGTCTCAAGAGCAGCGATAAGGTGTGGTAACAGCACTTGTACTCCCTGAAGGTCAACTCGCAAGAGATCAGCTGAGTTAAGAAGTATACTGCATAGAACGTGACCTGTACATAACTGAAAGAGATTGAACAATATCAAATTACAGTATATTTGAGTGGAAAATATTAATTTGACTAACAACAATCTGTAAAGGGAAAGCTAACACCTTCCAAGTTGTTTTAAGACTTAATAATTAGTATGTGTAATCAAATGGTGACGAGTGAAATTAGGGAATAATTTCATGCGCGTTTTGTCGAAATCCTTATAATTTCCCGAGCATTTAGGCTCAGGAAATTATTAGGATTTGGACAAAATGCTCGGGAAATTATAAGGATTTCGACAAAACGCGCATGAAATTATTCCCTAATTTCACTCGTCACCATTTGATTTGCTGCTTTACCTTAATGTTCTTATCTTAGTCATAATGTACATTGTACATGTAGGGCTGTCGCTAAGATCTGAAATTGCTGGGTACAATGTAAATTAATCAGAACATGCAAGCAAGATGGCGGTGTGGCAAGGCTCCGCGAGACACAAAGTTTTTCTCATTGACTCTAAAATAGCAATTTTTGCTGACGACTCCAAATTATACAAGATCAT